GTGGCTTTTTAAGTTTTATTGTTTAATAAAGTTATTAATTAATGTACAAAATTATTATCATCATATAGTTCTACTACATAGTTTGTTTCTCAGATGGAATCTCTTAAAACAATAATGATATTGAATATTTTTTCGTAGAGCTATGGGCAAAACTATACTGGAAATTCTTATTATGTTAAAAAAAAATGAGGGGTGAGATTGAAGACGATGTCAACTTTCAATAAGAAATAAAAGAAATTACTGGATCATACACATAATTAAATGTCTTTCTCTCTCTAAAAAGTTAAAAACCGAAAGTCCAAAAACTTTTCTCATCTCTCGCCCCAACGGAGTTCTTCTTTTCCACTCATGCTTGCACAAAAAACATCATGGAAACAACATTATAATTCGAAACCTGAACTTGAAAAAAAATCTTCTCAAATTTATTCTACAGTCAAGGTAATCGTTATATCTTTACTTTTTAATTTTATTTTCTGTTCGAACTAAGATCGATTTTAATATTATGGTAGTGTGTTTGGGAAAATAAATTTTGGAATTGCGTGGTGCTGGTGGAGCTGGGTCCCTGGGGGAGTATTCGTTGGAGATATTGGGTCATCGTAATGGAAGGAGACTCTCCTGCCGCGGAATTGGTGTCCATGGCAGACGCATGATGTGTGTGGTCCTTTTTTTTTTTTTGGGGGGGGGGGGGGGGGGCAAGGAGCAACCGATTGATGGTAGATTAAAGGACCGTATTGTTATAATATCCGATCGTGGTAAAGCAAAAGCAGCCCATGATACTCAGCATCATAGGGTCTAGTAATTTTGTGGATGACGACACATACAATGATCGTACGGATTGTTGAAGATGAACCATCTTCGCATACAATAGATGATGGGTTTGAGTATCCAGTCATCGATGAACACCATTTGGTTGAGGATGAGGCAGTTGATGATCTGATTGATGATGCACCTGAGGATGATGGTGTTTCAGTTCAAGGTGCTGGTGTTACGGGACCTAGTCACCCATGTAAGTTGCTAGAGCCAGCACCGGGAGGGCATAAGATTATCAATATGATCCCGAGTTCTGGTTCTCATGTTGTTTTTGATATATGGATGGGCAAATCGCGTGGTATTTTGATATGTTAGTCTCGCATCACATCTCTTCATACGTGGAGAGGCCCCACTGATTGAGATAGTTTAGAGTTGTTGAAGTAATCGAGGTTGTACCAATTGAAATATTGTACATTCGCTCATCATAACTCAACATTGATTTATGAATTTGTCAAGAGATGGCAACCGGACACGAACATATTTTGTATTCCGTTCGGAGAGATGTCCATCACCCTCCGTTATATCATGGGATTAGAGAGTTTTAGGAAGCTATCAATCGCCATTGAAGACCGAGATAATGAGATTAGAGCTATTTTTCGTTGTCTGTCTGCTTCACTTTTAAAGGTGTGCGAACTGTTTGCGATAAAGGTCCAATGGGGAGGCTGTTGCACTTTGTAGTGATGACGACTCAGTCGAGACTCGTGCTTGAAGATATATCTTGTATCTTATCGGATCCATGTTGATCGTTGAGAAGAGCGGGTGCATGTTTAAGCCAACATACAAATCATTGATTCAATATATTTCGAAGGTCAATCAGTAATCCTGGGGTTCGGGCGCATTGGCGTATTGGGAAAATTGGGTTTTTCGTCCTCTAAGTTGGCTGCTATAGGAATTTAGTCCTATAAGTTGGACAATTTCAATTGTAAGTGCAATATCTTTATCAAATTTGTACATTCAATTCGATTTTTCAATTTCACTCTCAATTGCTGACATGGCATGAAAGAATTTGCTTACTTGTCCACTAATTTGGGGATATTAGCTTTTTGGGAGAAAAATTAAACATGTGGCAAATAATAATTAAAAAAATATAACATAAAAGCCACGCAATCTAAAATAGTGGGGGGAAATTTTCATCTTTTCCCTCCAATCTAAATTAAATATTTATCCAAATTGAAATAATTCTTGAAACCCTAAAATCCTAATCTCCACAACCATTTCACGAGTTCTTCGATTCCCTCAAATCATCCACCTTAATGACACACATATTTTTAAACTCTTTAGATACCAAGTTGAGTACTTGAGCTTTTTACAATTTTTGAGAAAGAAATGAAGATTCAAGGTTTGCTACAGGACTTCGACTTTCCCCAAACAAAGTCTGGTATGTTATGTCAATTTTTTTTTATTCAAATCATCAGGGTGTAGGCTCGTAGGGTTCTTTATGTTTTAATTTAAATAGATATTTTTAATTGAATGGTTTTGTCTTCTCTTGGAAAACTTTGTTAGCAGTATATTCTGTTTGTATCCAAAAAAAAAAATCATTTTCTTATCACATTTTGTATTTTATTGTGAAGATGACGAAGAAGAAGAGACTAGTGAGGACTTCTCTGAAAGTGATGACTATGAGAGTAGTGACTATGAGATGGAGTCAAATTCAGATGATGATAAAAGTTATTATAAAAATATAGATGATAATGTGGAATGGTCAGGAAAAAAATTTGACGGGCCACTTGCAGTTGAAGATGTTTGTGAATTTGGGGAGGAGGATATTATGAAGAGTGATGATGATTTTGATAGTATTAAGGGTTCTGACAATGAGAAAGAAAGGCCTCACTTTCCTGTTTTTAATCCAATTGAGATATATAGACCAACCTTTGAGTTGGGCATGATTTTCAGTACCAGAACAGAGTTAAGGCAATCTATACACTCTCATGCTATTATCACGAGAAGGAGCATAAATATTACAAAAAATGACAAGAGTAGATTACATGCCAAGTGTGTTGAGAAGGGGTGTGGATGGAAGCTTCATGCACTTAAGGTTACAAATGAGTGCACCTATCAGGTGAGAACTTATGATCCTAATCACAGTTGTGGGATGAGTTTTCATGTAAAAAATTTGAAATCTAAATGGTTATCTAGTAAATACTTGGATAAGTTTTAAATGTGATCCTAAGAGAAATTTGAAAGGCTTTAGAATTGAAGCGATGAAGGATGTTAAATGCCATATATCAAGTTATCAAGCTTATAATGCTAAAAGGAAAGCTATCGAAATAATTGAGGGAGTTCCAGATGAACAATATTCTTTGCTATGGGATTTTGTTGATGAAGTTAAAAGAACCAATCCGGGTAGCACTGTGATAGTTGGGACTGATCAATTAGCAGGTGAAAATAGGTTTGATAGAATATATATGTGTTTGCATGCTTTGAGAATGGGGTTCTTAGCTGGTTGTAGACCTTTAATTGGGGTAGATGGTTGCCATTTAAAAGACAAACACGGGGGAGTGTTGTTAACTGCTGTAGGTGTTGATCCCAATAATAACATCTATCCCATTGCCTACGCTTTAGTTGAAAAAGAGACGAGGGAAACTTGGGATTGGTTTTTAACCATGTTAAAAATTGATTTACATATTGAAAAGGACTACGAAAGGGACCTTTATATCCGATAAACAAAAGGGATTAATTCAGGCATTTGAAGTGGTATTTCCTAATTCTGATCATAGGTTTTGCGTTAGGCATATGCATTCAAATTTTAAAAATATTGGTTTCAGAGGACAAGCCTTCAAGAGTATTTTGTGGAAGGCAGCACGAGCCACAACAGTGAATGAGTTTAGCAGAAATATGGAAGAAATGAACGAGTTAGATGAAAATGCATTTCAGTGGCTGAATGATAAACCGCCTCAAAATTGGAGTAGGTCACACTTCAATACCCATCCTAGGTGTGACATGTTATTGAACAATGGATGCGAGTCTTTCAACAGTAGTATTTTAGAGGCAAGGGAAAAGCCTATCGTGTCTATGCTTGAATGGATTATGGAATATTTAATGACAAAGCTGCAAAAAAATAGGGATAGAGCAGAAAAAAAGTGGAGCGGCGATCTATGTCCTAAAATAAAAAAGAGGATTCACAATAACATTGAAAAACTAGGAGATTGTATTCCCATCAAAGCAGATGATTATCATTATCAAATATCTTGTTTTGACGGGAATCAATACAATGTTGACTTGAATGAATGAACATGTGGTTGTAGAAAGTGGGATTTGAGTGGCATCCCATGTAAACATGCAATCAGTGCGATCGTTTGTCAAGGCTGGAAAATCGAGAACTTCACACATAGTTGTTACAGAGTGGAGACTTATAAAGCTGTTTATGCTCCTGCCATTATGCCAATGAATGGCAGAAATGAATGGAGAAAATCAGACTTTATTCCTCCACTATCTCCAAAATTTGGTAATCCTGGTGGCAGGCCTTGTGGAAGGCTAATAAGAGCAAGGAGGCGGGAATTGGATGAGCCTGAAGAGAAGAAGAGAAAAAGATCAAGGGGCAAGCCAAAGGTGATTAAAAATGCATATCAGCTGAAACGGCAACAAAAAACTTTAAAATGCAGTCAATGTGGTGTTGAGGGACACAATAAAAGAGCTTGCAAAATGAGGGATGATAATTCGAAAGCAACACAAACTGAGGTGGCGAGGAGTGAGGTTGGTAATCAAACTCCAAAGTTTCAGGTATGTTTTTTTATTCCTTCCAATTTTGTTATGATTAAGTTCATATATATTATGTTAATGTTATAATTTAATTTAAACATTAATTAGGCTGGAGAAAGAATATTTCAAGATAAACAATATCAAGATGGAAGTTCTACCGAAAGACTCATAAGTGCAAGTTTTCTCGACAAGTTCATCTCATTTACTTACATTGATTAATTTTATTTATATTTGAATTAAGCTTAATATTTTTATTTATGTAGCAGGTGAGATTGAAACAGGGAAATGTTCCATACGTGCCACCAACTCAAAGAAACCATGCAGCCTTTACAACTTCAGATTCTAGAGTATATCCTCCAAAAATGTTTGAGCAGCTACAACAAAGTCAAATGCAAACACCGAGAGTAAATATCAAGGCCTCTGCTCAATTTGTTGGTGGACAATTCATTCCCAGCATGGAAAATTGTATCACCAAAGTATGTTCAAAGTCAATAGTCACTAAAGGTGGGAAGAAATTTGTACATTTGTCGAATCTTAACGATGGCCTCTCTCAAGAAAAATCTACAGCTGCAAATAAAAAGAAGGAAGGAAAGAAGCCTATGCAATGAAGTGAATTTAATTGTTTTTGTTGGAACTTTGATATCTAAATAGATGGATTTAATATTTTGTTATTATTTAAATTAGACATCGTTTATGATGAGATGTTTTTGATGCGTATGAAAAGTTATAATTATTCAGCTTCGTCTATTTCTAAATTTGTGTGTATAATTTAATTTCATAATCTCTTTAGTTTTGATTAATTTATAATTAATTTATTGGTCTTCTTAACATTAACATTATTTTTTTGGGTGTTCTTAACATTAACAATAATTTATTTCGTTCATTCTTAGTTTCATTAACAATGTAAAAGAAAAATTGATTCACTAATTTTCTAATTTTTCTGGTGAATTTACGTTTTTTAATTATTATTTGTTTTGAATTGTAAAAGGAAAAAAATATATGGCAAATATGTCTGAGGAATCGAGGGAACAGATGAAAGTTCCCCCCACCATTTTAGATTATCTTGCTTTTATGTTATATTTTAATTAATATTTTACACATCATATTTGCCACATGTTTAATTTTTCTCCCAAAAAGCTAATATCCCCAAATTAGTGTACAAGTAAGCAAATTTTTTTATGCCATGTCAGCAATTGAGAGTCAAATTGAAAAATCGGACTGAATATACAAATTTGATAAAGATATTGCACTGACAATTGAAATTGTGCAACTTATAGGACTAAATTCCTATAGCAGCCAACTTAGAGGACGAAAAACCCAATTTTCCCTTGGCGTATTTATACCGCCAGTTAGGCGCGGCTTCGCTAGCCAAAGTGAAGCAGATACAGGGTCCATTGGTATTGTTGGACGTATTGATTTTAACTCATAGTTCTTTTATTTTTGTCAATATATTTTATTGTGTGTCTAATGAATTTATCATGAAACAATCTTGGATATACGAGTATTTTTCATGTTTTCGACCTCATTTACTAGATATATACGATGAAATCCAGCCACGATGTATGAAATGGAAGATTCCGAAGAAATCGTAGGTAGGAATATTGGATATTATCGACGATATATCCACAATTTAGAGGCTAATGAGGTAAGTTTTAAGTTTAAATTGAGTAATGTTACTAAATGGGATGTCCTTTTGATTATAATTCATATTTTTTTTATTGGTGGATCGGGTGCGGTTTGGAGTTAACGTGTTATTAGATGTATCGAAAACAATCTTCAACGTTAAAATTCGGTGGTTGGACATCGTCGAGCCGCATTTACCAGATATATTTTTGCGAGAATTTGGGTGAAACCAGATCATACATGCTTCTCTGTTGCCCCCGACTGCGAAGACTAAAAGCGGAGGGAAACATATTACTTACCGTGTGTTTTATGATCTCGAAGATAGAAATTGGGATCCCGATTACAACCATTATGGTGTCAATGCAGTTCCAGTTTTTCAGGTTGTTGAATGATAAATGGACTGGTACCTTGAGCGTACTCATCCGCTTGTAGATTCAGATGATGATCGCATGTAGAGACGACCGCCAAATTCGGTTCCAACAATATTCAACATCGCACAGTTACCCATCTATACTTTCTTGATCGTCTGCTTCCATCATATATTCCTAACCACCACGTGGTACTAGATAGCTTTCGCATTTGCATGAGTTATGTAGACCGTTTGGTGAGCAACTCTGATTGGATGTGCTACACGGAGCCAGCTAGAGGGACATAATGATTCAAGTGTTGACCCGTCTAATAGCATGACGAGCTCTATGAGGGTAAGACATCATCAGTAGTTAGATTAACAGTATGACGAGCTCTAGGAGGGTAAGACGTCATTAATAGTTAGATTAATTTGTAGGTACACATACTTGCATCTCTCAGGCGTTATTTTGTATTTTCTACATCTCTATTCTTTGGTTTCACCTGTTTTTTTCTAAAACAATCGCAAGTGACGTTTACTCTATCACAAAAAAAGTATGACCTATGCGTAACTTAATACCATGAGTTTCAGCTATGTCTCTCGTCCACTGTATTAAATCGGCTCTACACTTAAAAAAATGTACTCCTCGAAAATATTCAGAAAAATCAACTTTCCCATCGTCCTAAAAATTAAATAAATTAGAAAGAAAAAGAGAGACTGCATTTAAAGTAGGAGCGGACACATCAAATAAAATGCTCACATTGAACACGGATACAATGATCCGCGCATCCAACATGTGTACGCTGTCTGTTGCATTCCAGGTCGTCCGTCATCTATTCCAACTCCGCTCCCACTACATCTACCGTAAACTTAGACGAATTTTCGGCAAAAAAATCAAAATCTTCCTTCCAGTTGAAATGGATTGTTGTTAGAAGGTATTGAACTGTTTATGATTATTACGTAAATAGAAAATGACTTTTGACGACTTTTGAAAACCCTAGAAAGAAGTCATAGAAAACATAGCTTAGAGAGAATATTTTTTTATTAATGTGGCGGGATTTATTAACTTTTAGTATGCGATTTAGCACCCCCATTATGTTATGCCTTTATAGATTTATTATAAATGCATTGTGCTGTTATATATGCATTACTGTGGATGTCAAGTCGTAAAGAGTTTAAAAGAGTTTCATTAACTCTTTATGTATTCAATATGCTCTTTGGGTACTATAAATAGATGCCATTATAATGAATTTAAAACACACACATAGAGAATAATAAAGAGCAAGAAAATGTTCTATTATCCTTATATTTGATTTTCCATATTCTTGTATTGTTTCAGTTTCTTCAGTATATTCACAACACGTTATCGACACGAGTTTTCTCCCATTTTTATTTGAGGTTGGTGATAACTGTTCGTTTTGCACGATTTTTACTTAATAAATCTTCGAGTTTTGATCTTTGTTCGTCCGATTTTTCGCCTTTATTTGTACATATTATGTCTTTCTTGTTTTATTTTAGTTTTAGGTAAAGACAAACTATTTTTGCCGATTTGAAACAATGTTGGAAGCGAAGCCGACAATCAAGCTAAACAAGTGCAAAGTTGCATGCTAGCGGTGACAGTGTTCTGTATTTCAAGCATAACTATCTCATATGACCTTCGATTGAGTTGATTCAAGCATGGTAGGAAAACCAACTGCCATGGCTACAACTTTTGTGAAATGCACTTTTATCCAATTTGGATTGTAAAAGAGTCAAAAGTGTTTAAAGTTGACGCAGAGGCTTCTACTCCATCTGGATCGCGATCTAGGGGTCATGAATTACAAAGAGCACCCCAAATATTCGTGGATCCACACCCGGATCGCTATCTAGGGCCAAATTGCAGAAGGTTTAATTTATCATGGAGCCAAATCGCGATCTATAAAGCCATGTTCGCGATATGGGGCCAAATTACAGAGAGCGTCCCTAATATCCACAGACCCATATGGCGATCCACAATGCTCTGATCGTGATATGGCAAGACGGTGCCCTGCTTTAGTTTATTCTTGAATTTTTCTTTGGTTTTCGCCAGTTTTTCACAGGAAGCTTCGACGAGGGTTTTGACTCGGATTTTTCATAAGCTATTTCGTTATATTTAGTTTATTATTTATCGTGTTCTTCATTTTGATGCTATGTTTGTAATGAACTGACATTTTATTTTAGGGAAATGAAACCTTGTATATATTGAATTTGATTTCTAGATCTGTTATCTATTTGTCGATCTTTAATTATGTTTATATTTTTTTTTCTTAATGCTTATTATTGTTTGGCTGATAGTTGAATTGATTGTAAATGACAATGAACCCGATAGATGATTTCTTGTTTTATTTAGAAAAACATAGCTTGAGGTTTGTGATTTTGTGACGATTTTTCAGCCTTTAACCCGTAAGGACTTGACTTAAATGCTCTCTTAATGACAGGTTCTGAATGGAGACGTCGGACATGTGGGTAGGCACTAGCTACACCGCAGACGGGTGTTAGGGTATTATAGTGTCCGGGCTAGCGAATATAGATTTGATATTAGATTCGGATTTGGACATCATTATTGTAGTACATAGGTGGATTTAACCCCAAAAGCCATCACACGTCGGACTTTCCCGTTAGTCCTGGCATTGTTGTTTTTATTAATTTTTCTTTTTAACTTCATTTCTACCATCATTTCCCGATCGTGTAGATAAATTGTAGGATAATATAATTACGATACTTGGTCAATTTAACAACTTAATTCAATATTGTTCGATACTGGAAGTCACTATTTAGCAAAACACGATACTGCACACTTGCGTTTATTCATGTAGGTTTTACGCGTATCAGTTGGTAATGAATTTTGTGATTGTTTTAATATACTGGAAAAATGAAATTACTTGTCTTATTTTTCGACCAGTGGCCTGCAAAACATGTTTTTCAATATATATATATATATATATATATATATATATATATATATATATATATATATATATATATATATATATATATATATTGAGAATTAGACCAAGACTATTGTATGTTAACAAACATGACATAAGGAGCACCACTTTGAGCACAAAAAATCAACTAAACTCTTATATCTCTTAGTATCCTACACTTTTTTTTTACTGATACTAAATCATCGAGCTTAAACCCCAACTTAGTTGAGAATGACAAACTGCATAAAGAGTTAAATGAATCAAAATCCAGATTATGTTGTGAATCGACAAAAGTTACTGACAAAGGAAAAAGATAATAAAACATTAACAAACATGTTCCCATAACTTCTCTTCGTGTTGATGTTCGTACGAATTGCAGATTATGCTCGATCAAGTTGTAACGTCTCGAAAAAAAGCAGCTATAATTTTTTTTTATCTCGTCTGAAAACTCCCTCTGCAATCGCATAGCTTGATATGAGGGATTTGTTTTCCGATTTTCTAGACATAATTACTTCCAAATAAATCAATATATTGTTTGGGGTATTTATGTCTATATACTTGTAATTTGATAATGTAT